GAGTGCCTTTTTATGTTAAAAGGATTCATGGGGGCATTGCATGTATGACATCTTACCTGCAGCATGTGGTGGTATGCGTCTGAATTTTACTTCCTCAAGTCTGCCACACCCAGTTCTGCATAATGTATGCAAACAATACACATAGAGCAGATTCTGCTATCATAGCGGCAAGTTCTGAACCCTACTGTGTGTTGATTCCTAAACACATCTGCAGAGCATCTACACACATTGCAGACATGTAAAAGAACATGCATATGGGATGAAGCCTTTGCCTGTCCAGAGTATTGTATTTAGTAGATGAAGGAGCACTAGTAACATCTGTAGAGGTCTGTTTTACCAGAGGTCATAAACCATCCGCCTTGTCAATTGATGTGAACAGAGAAGCCTTCCTAAGTGAAGAATTGTGCTCATATGTGTTTTGTCTTCTGAGACGGTTACATATATCTTCTGGAACTAATATATATCTATTCAGCTATATTCCTCCAGAGGCCTGATGCAACATCACACTGGGACTCATAACACATTATGAGCTTTAGCAATATGAAAACACATAGTGTGTGTTTTATGGCTAAAAGGATCAAGCTTGTATTACAAATTTATGTCCAAAGGCAAGAAGCAATCTTCTTTTAGCTTCGTTAATGACATACCTCTTAGAGCAAATCGTTTCTATCATTTCCAATAAAAGGACATAAGTAATCATTAAAATAAGCCATTCAAGGAAAAGAAAACTTTAACCACATGGAGCTGGAGCTGGACTACAACGTACCAAAATCCCATGGAACTTATAAAATGCTAATGGAAGTGAGACAGGAATTTAATGAGGCAATCATACAACTTGGATTGTACCGCTGGTGAGTCACCAAGGCATCAAGTAATGAGTTGATAATAACATTGAAACGATATTGGCATAGCAGTTTAAAGAGTGAGAGGAAAATCCAAACAGGAAGTTAGGTTACAGAAGTGTAAATTATTCCTCTGATTGAAGGAGGAATAGAATTAAGGTTATCTGGGGCTATACTTTGCCTAGAGCACGGAAGTTATTGCAACTCAGGGTGGCTTTGCCATTAATTTTGCTCTTTTCTTTGCATGAAGCTTTCACTAGCTAAAAGTAGCCCCACAGCTGTTGTCTATGGGTACTGTAAAATGTGTTTTGGTTAAAGATAGATACGGTCTGCCATTTCTTATAAGCTTATCTCTGTAAGGTAGCAAACTGTGTGTGTGAAAAGCTAAGACTTGCAAGTGGACTATGCTCAGAAAGGTGAAAGGTCTTTTTTGTTGTTGTTGTTAACCTGAAACAATTTGTATAATCTTGGGTTTTTTCCCCACTGCAGTGCTCTTGAGGGCAGAGATTCCCAAAATCAGAAACTTACCAGCTGTGAGTTGCAAAGCTTGGTGAGAAGAGTTCCAGGTGATAATGGATTTATTCGCAGTTATGCAGTTTTACTTCTAATATTCCCAGTTTTTCAGGCACTAAATTGGAAGAATAAAATGAATATATTATTCATTGACCTCAAGGCAATATTTGAGGCTGAATGCCCACCTCTGTCTTTACTGATGTTGCTGTGAAAAGCAATTTTCACTTTCATTTTTTTTATCATCTGTGGCTTGTTGTGTGATCAGAACCTTCTAAACTGTCATCAGTCTTAACTATGATTTGTTTCACATAATGAAACATAAAACCATGGATTGATATTGTTGGCCCATCATGATAAACTGCAGTTAACCTTAAGTTTGAGAGGTTTACCATTAGTGCACCAGTCTTGGCCATTTTGCTCCTCCCTGTTAGCATGAAAAGGAAACAAAGTACAATCACTTGCTTTAGGATTATGTCTGAACTGGGAATGGTGAATTGCTTCACTCCCAACACCACAGTCTGTAGCCAAGGTTTGTTCCTGGATTACTGGTTATGGTTTGTTAGACAAAAGAAATCACATACCCTCGTTTGGCCATAACACACTGCCAGGGATCATGGTTTCTTTCTTTCATGCTTTAGCAGACCCAAGAGCAAGAGAACCCAGATTGGCTTGTTTAATGTATAAAACACTATGGAATTCTGGTTTGCTGTTGTTGTAAACAATATCTGTCCTCCTTCCCTTATGGGGTATCCAAGAGCCTGTATAGAGTCCTTAAGTGGGTTCCCTATTGGTAGGAGAAAATAACAGAGGCCAACCAAAGAATATTGAGAAGCAAAGCAGCTAGCAAGCCTGATCTTTATTAAAGCTGTTGCAACAGGGTGCTCCCCTCACACGCAGGAGGAGGACCCAGAACAAAGGTGTGCCTGCCCTTATATAGACATTTTAAATTCCCTGCCCTGGAGCTCAAGACTACCCCTCCATACATCATACATACATCAGAGAAGGGCTGTAACCCAAGACCACCTCCCACAAACATTATACCTACAGAAAAGGCAGTCTACAACAGAAATCTGAATGTTGTTTTTCCTGTCTGCCAGGTTATCTGATAATGCCTTATCTGATTGCCTTTTCTGGTAGTCTGGCCATTCTCTTGAGATGGTGATTACCCAATTCCCGAGACACTGGGAAGGTTCCCTCACCTGCTCCCTCCTTGCAGAGAAAACATTTGGTCAGTTTGGGAGTCAAAATAGTTTCAGAACGGTCTTCCTGTGCTGCTCCAGACATGTGGTCCACATATCTATGTACGTGCTTGGTTGGTACATTTATGAACATTATAATATATATATAAGACCTTACTTTTTTTTATTATGCTGTGATGTGTGAACTGGGCTGTTATGAAGCTGCAATGTTTCAACAAGCCACCGTTTGGTGCGTGTATGTAATGCTAAATATGGTTAATAAAAAAATGGAAATGAAAGCTTCCAATCTTCATGTTTGCAATGAAGGAGGGAAAGGAAGGGGAAGCGTGCAAGCCCAAGACTCCCAGAGTCTCATTCTCATCCCCATAATGGTTTATCATGATGTCTGATTGTCGATTCTTGTCTAATACTTCATAATGAACACATAAAGAGAATAAAAATGAAGTTTGCAATATGTTATATTCTTATTTTGCTACCCCCTGTCTTACCCCACCCCCTTTCATTATCCTTCCTGATGGTACACAAGCTTGTTTTTTTTTTTTGTTAAGGACAATGCTGTTTCCTTTTGACTCATGGACCATTTTGTTTTCAGTTGCAAAATACCCTGGCCTAAATCTTTAACACTTAAGTTATGCTTGCTTAAGCACATTGAAATGTAGGCACTTAACTCCACCACCCCCCAATCCATTTGTTTATGCAGAGCAGAGTAATGGACATAATTGTTTGGTAGAATACAGTCTAGTGAGCAGAAAGCGATAATACAACATAGTAATCTGACTTCTAGTGAGTCAGACCATTGGCCCATCTGTAGCTCAGTATTCTTGTCTACTTCTATCATCAAACAGATCCTCCAGACCAAACCTTAATTTCTGTGTGGCTACTTTCTCATTAGCTCATACTTTGTTCAAAGTCTCCTCAAGCCTCCATTGACTGGCTTCCTTAACTTTAGAGATGACTTGATTTACCTTTTAAAAAATAAATAAAATAAAGTCGAATGCATCCAATAGGCAAATTGGACTGCTGGTGTATTAGCTTAATGGCCTACATGGGTGACTTGATAGTATGACTTGAGGATCAGTACATCTGTGTAGTATTTAGGAGGCTGTAGTTTTGTGGAATCGTATTTTTGTGGCGTGTAATTAACAGTGGCGTGTCTTTAGTAGCACAGCGAATGTTTTTAAAGGGTGCTTCCTTAAGACAGCATCTGGTCTAACCTATGAATTATGCACATTCGGCATATGGTGAATAGCAAGAGTATGGAGGGAATGATTAGACCTGTTATCATAGCAGTAGTTATATATTGCTTTTACATGTCTAGATAAAGAAGCTTCGCCATAGATCAAGACTGATGGTAGCCTCCAAATGCATAGCTAATATTTCATATGAATATTTAATGTCTGAAAGATTAGGTAGTGTTTTTTTAATATCCTTTAGCTTTGAGCACAGTTCATGGAAAGGTTGGGATACGTTTTTGAAGATTAAACGTTGCATTTTTTTAAAGTTGCAGCGTTAAAA